CTATTTTGTTGAAATACCTAAGTACCACGCCTACAAGAAAATGTCATAAATCACCCAATATTACCTGATGTTAGTCGAAAGACTTCAAATTCATAAAATATAGATTAAAAAACAGTTTAGTTGGCAGGTTTATAATTACCTCAGGGAAGCCGCACGTAGCGGACAGCAGTTTGAGGAAGCCTTTGCCGATGGTATCTGGTGCAGTGCGCCGCTGTATTTGCTCCTTAATGGCTTCCAGCACCATCGCCTCCACTGTTTCATAACTGCTTGTGTATCTACATACAAAATACATCTTACATTACTTGTGATAAGCGTTGGAACATTTTATATTCCTTGAAATTTTAATCTGAGGGCAATTTTAAAACAATATACAGAATTTAGGTATTTTTATTAATCTCTTTCCTGTGTGAAAGAATCTATGTAAATATCTTACCGTGGTGAGACGGTGTACTCGAGGTCGGTCTCGTTGTCGTCGTCCGCACTACCCAGCAGCGGAGAGCCTGACCCTGATGGTGATATTGTACCTATCACGTTAAAATTGTAAAAACGAACTCGCAGTTGCATTTATGAAACCTCCTGTCTTAACCGAGTACCTCCAACTTTGACAAGTTACCATGTGTTGCCGGAGGAGTAAATTATAAAATTACTTTACTTCATACTAATATTGTTATACCCTTGATCATCGAGCTGCCCCCCCCCCCACCCCGCCCTTGATCATTACCTGGCAAAGCCACTGCAAGTTATTAATTTCTAGACAATCTCAAATTTGAAACCCCAATAGTCCAATTGTTAAGGTTACGGACATCCGATATTGTCGAGGGTTCAAATCCCGGTAGCTCTTGGTAATCATAGCACAAACTTAGACCTTATATAGAATGGTTCACCATCAATCACTTTAAATAGAAAAAAAAAACTATTGTGTAAATATGAGAATTCGATAGATTTGAGAATTTATAGTTACCCAGCGTATTATCCGAGGGTATGAGATGTGAGGGGGGCTGCTTAGTGTTGAATGCGGTGACAATGTTCTCAACAAAACATTTACACCATGAACAGTCCACCCAACAGCGTTCATTCAGCGCATCCTCAATGTACACCTGCATGAAGCATTTAATATCACTAAATTGAAATGTACTTAAACTACATCATATGTGACTATACAAAAATGTATAAAACTGAAATGTTTACAATAAAATTTTGGGTTTTTTAAACATTTAAAAACATACACTTGAGCACATCAATTATTTGATAACTTAATAGTATTCAAATTAAAATATAATCTTCACTAATATAATAAAGCATAAACACAAAATTTGTTATATAAAATATCAACAATCAGCATATTTTTGGATAATCTTTTTTATACTAAAAAAAAACTTTACACTTTGATACACTTTGGGCTATATATTTTTACACTGATAAACTTAGAGTGTAAGAAAATTAAAAATAAAACAATATATACCTTAATGAATGTATCAGGCCAGTTAGAACTGTCTTTATGTCCAGCATACAACATATTACAAGCTAAAACAAAGACAAGTGGATTGCCTTTGTTTTTAAATGCAGCTCCTTGCTCCCTCTTCAGCAATGTACAAAGACTCTGGGTGACGGTCTCATGAGCAAACATGTTCGGTCTTATCTTTGTAAGGTACAGTAGACTCATACAGAGAATTATATCAGCCTTTGAACGTTGAGATTTGAGCAAACGAATTGATCCAGTTAACAGTCCCAACTGAAAAAAAAAAAAATGTACACAGGTATACAAATATGAATTCATATTTTCAGTGGTGGCATCACTGTTTATGCAATATTAGATGTACCGCGTGGGAACCCGTGCTGCTGAACGCGAAGCGGAATAAGATCGACAATGTTGAAGACAACATAGTGGACATTGTCAGTGTATTTTGTGCCCCCGGTAATAACAATGAGACCACCACGTCAGTATCGAGCTCGTCTTCGCCGACGGACATAGTGAATAGTGTACTCCCCACCCCCCGCGCCCCCCGCCCTGTCGAAACGCGCGATGCGGGCGAGGGCACGCAGTGATCGTCGCGACGCGATAGCGAGTATACCCGATTAATCACTCACCCTGAAGAAGGACCCCCAACGGGTTCGAAACTGTTGGTGCATACACCGAATGTTATCACGTGAGTTTAGCCGTTTTATAATTTATGTAGTATAATGTCTCACAAAAGTTTTAATAAGTTAATATTAGATGTAACAAAAAAATTGTAAGCAAGTATACTTACTAGTTTATCAGAATTATGAGTGTCTAATGCTTGAAGAACATTAGGCACTAAATCAACTGGCTCCACATCTAAGGAGGCTCCCCCGACAGTTTCCGCTGGTGAGCCTATACGGGACCTCTTGCTTGGTGGCTGACTACCAAACCCTGAAGATTCCCGTTTTCGTTCTACACCTAAATTACATAATATATACATTGAAATAATCTAAATTGTTTTATTGTTATGATAAACTTTTTGCATATGCTAATAAAAGTCCAAATGGAAGAATTTTATACAGTTGATGGACGTGTAAAATTAAATGTTTTAAAAGTATATTTAAATATTAAATTTTAAGAGGTTAAATCAAATATTACACAATTCTTATTTCGGTACGTGAACTTACCACTCGTAGAAGGCTTGTGTATGTTTCTCTTTTCAGAATCTCTAGAGACGACCACCGTGGACTTGCTACCAAGTGCGAAAATATCCTGGGGATGCTGAGGGGCCTTACTTTTGGCTCCACGGCCTGCCGATGACATTTTACCTCTTTCCATCTCGACCTTTTTAATGGAGATTCTTATCAATGAGATAATATAAACAACATTGCAAAGTCTAAGTCGCTAATTAAATTTCACTTTTTTAATTAATGTAAATAGCCAAAATATCAATTCATAACAAACAAGACGCCTCACATTACCAACACATTACCTCTGTCACTGTCAAATTGACATTTAATTTTAAATAACTTTTGACAAAGCACAATGTTAACATATAAAATTAATATGTTGACTTATTCACATTTTAACTTGTTAAAGAAAGTAAAACATGTTTTATGCCCATTTTCACCTTTAAAACACAAGATATTATGTTTTTTTTACTACTTTACCTTGTTGGTCTTTTTATTATTCATAAATTATACGAGAAATAGCATTGTGAAAGAATTTTGAACGATAAGTTTTCTGTCACTGACATCGATTGATTGAACTTGAACTGTCAAGTCAAAACTAATTTTATTGGGATTAATTTTTCCTGTCTTGTGATAACGCATTTTAGAAGGTATTATATTGTTATTTTTAAAATGTTCTACATATCTTCTTTTTAAAGAACAGAACGCAAGATTTCGGTTTCCTAAATTTACATGAAAAAAGGAAATTACCAAGTTATGTAACAGTTTTAAGGTTATATTTTACTGTTTCAGATGCTCTCCTCTTCTCTTCTCGGTGGCCTGAAGGCTGCTCGATCATCAATCGTTATCACAAGAAATTTAGCTGCAGCACAAAAGGCTTCCGACCCAATTCAACAACTGTTTCTTGACAAGATCAGGGAATATAAACAGAAGAGCTCGTAAGTATTAAATTGAGTTAAATGTTTTCTATTTCTCATTAATCATTTTTAATGATAGTTTATAATCTTCTTATTCACGGACATCGTTAAAAATCAATTTTCCAAGTTACTTTGAATAAGGAATTTCTTCCAATAGTAACATTGTTAAAATTTAATTTTCGATTAGTGCTTATCCAAGTGTAGTTGTGTTATGAAGGGACAGACTACTTTTAATTGAATCATGTATCTCTTTGATTCTAAGGTTTCAAGAAGTTTGATCCCTTATTTTAAAAAACCTATCAAGATTACAGGTTATATAAACTTATTTTTACAAATACAAAGAATGATTTGGATTTTTGTACTAATCTAATGTTTTTTAAACTATTGTGAGCTTCATTATCGCTAAGTAACAAAGGCTGTATTTACTTTTGTAAAACATTTATAAGATAAAATTCACTTGTGTGGTAACTACACTAGTATTAACTTTAATTCTTATAACTTTGTTTTGACAGTGGTGGTAAACTTGTCGACCCAAGTCCAGCCATTCAGAAGGAACTAAAATCTGAGTTAGAGAAGCTGGAACGGCAGTTTGGTGGTGGCTCTGGAGTGGACATGACAGCATTCCCCTCATTCAAATTTGAAGAACCAAAATTGGACCCAATTGATGAACAGGCAGCACAGAAGTGAACAACCAATGTATCAAACTTAGTTTAAAATATTTAAATAAAACTCCACAGTTACTGAATATTCATTTATTGTTGAATAAAACCAATTTGCAATCTAAATAACAGATGAATTCGGAAACTAGACTAGTATAATTCATAACTTCTATCAAGAATATAGTTGAGAGTATGTAATCATAGTCATCAGAGGTTTGTTGGTTTACTTTACTCCCAGTAGTATTTTCGTCAATTACTTTATGAAAATATTCTAACAAATATTCACGATAAACTCACAGTATCCATATCCTATTTGTTTTTTTACACACTCCCAGTCCTTTTAAAACCCTTAAAAATTTATTTCTTACAATAACATATCCTAAATTATATTGTTTAGTTTACAAATGATCTATCACCAACACAGTTATATACCTAACCTAAGAATATAAACTTTTACCTTAATATGAACAAACAAGCAAAAATAAAAAGGGTAGACAGTGCTATCATTGCACTTAATAACTTTAAAAATAGATTTTCTTTTGTTTTTATCTAGTGTAGAGGTGATTAATTAAGAGTTAACTATGGGATGGATGAACTGTCATAATTTGAATCAGATAGTTTCATGTCATGACATTTGATTCAATTTTACTATTGATGTCTCTGAAATCTGAGGTAAATCTACATTTCGTATATGTATTATGTTTTATTTGATTGCAAACAATTGTTGCTGTAATTTACACTTTTCTCTGCATAAGCGTTTGTATTGCTTATACAGCTGTTCTGCATGTTGTTTGTATCTGTCAAGATCAACCTCCTGCGTCCTCACCCAGCCAGAGCGCCACACATCAGAACTGCCCATCATTTTCTCTAAAAACACAGCTAGCATCACAGCGGTTGCGTAGCTCTCTCTACAAGACAAATATTCAAATTGTGTCGAATCAAAATAACGCGCCCAGTGATACGTGAAACATTTTTCCTTTTTCATGTATTTTAGCCTGAAATTCCTAACTTGCATCATACATTCATTGATGTCTTCTGATTTTAAATCTCTCAAAATAATTGAAAACTCCGGACCGGGACCAACATACCTATAGATGGACTTCAACAGGTTTATAATACCCATGTCATAATATGCTGTGTGGTCAACTACGCACATTTTAAATATATTATACAATCCATGATAGATTAAGATACAATGTTCTTTTTGTAAAATATCTATACGGATTGAGTTAAATATTATTTTAGCAAACATCACTTTATGATGCCTCTCTCTAAGCATCATTTCTTTGCAACATTTCTCAACGCAACTCTCATGTGGCGCTGTATACTTTATAAGAGGGTCTATAAATCTTATTTTATGAAGAAAATTTTTACTCTTAAATGTATTGATTATATTCTTTTTACCCTTAACAATTCCTCTCATCAGTATTAAAGCGACAATACCAAAAAAACATTTGATTAACACTCTGGACTCTTGTGATTCGTCCCATTCTATGAGTATTTTATTGCATGAAGAGATGAACGCTGAGTTTTCTAATGGACCATATTGCATTGACGAGGGTTCAGAAGTTGATGCTGACCTTGTTGATCCAACCCATTTTATTGACATGTTGTCTGTAACATCAGTAATAAAAGATTGTAAAGCATCACCATCATCCTTGTCATCAGAAGGTGTCTGCTTTTTGTCATCAGAGTTGATATCATTAGTGCCCATATTTTGTTCTTGACAACTAGATGTTTGTCCATTATCACATGCTGGTGCACCTGGATTGTCTTCATTCTGATTATCACTGGATTTATTTGTTTTTAAATTTGATTCAATAATACTACTGTTATTTTTTTTTGTTGTGTCGGTGCAGGTTTTATTAGCTCTTGTCACAATAGCTTTAAATTCTTTGTTAAGTTTTTCTTCTGGTGTCATGAAAAACAGAGAACCATCATCACTATACTCATTTTCATGCCAGATAAGTTCATCAGTGTCAGCAGTTAGTGGAATAATAGATATTACTGCGAAAAGTAAATCGGAAGCGCGTAAACCTTTAGGAACCTTCCCTCCCACATAAAAGTTTAAGAATCTAGTAATAATAATCTTCTGTGTATCTAAATCCATAACTTTGGCTGGAAAGAAGTTTTCTTGTGATATTTTATAACAATCATAATCATCCCATGTGTTTGGTTCGTTGTTTTCATTTTGCAATGTTGTGGCATCACCATTTAAATCTTTGATATTTTCTGACTTTTTTGATTGTAAGTCATCTTTTAAAATGTTTTCTCCGATTTGGTCATTTGTCTCATTCCCATGTTTGGAATCTCTTGTACAGTTAGATTGTGAAATATCTTTGTCATGTAATTCATTAGTGTTTTTTGATGTTTGTATATTTGCACATTCTTCAGTACCATTGGTATTTCCTGAATCCGGTGCAACATTCTCGTTAGAAATTTCAATGTCTTTAGAATCACAAGAATCTTGTATTTGTACCAACTCTTCCGTATTACTGTGAAAAAAAAAAATTATTCACCTTAATTTTGTATTTTGTTTGGAAGTTGAAGTTTATAGGCTAAAATAACTTTAAACTTACCGGAAACAAATCAGAAAACTGCTTTTCTTGTCTCCTTTTCTCGATTCTGCAAGGTATATCATTTTTTCCTCTCTGATTTAAAATTTGAATGCAGATTACACTCCTTGACTTGTGCCAATTTGTACGGATCAAGCACTGATTGTGATGAAATGAGTAAAAACGATGTTTGAGTCAAGTTTATTTGTGCAATGTCTTTGTGAAACATTTCGGTGATTCACCGACAAAAATGATAAAACTTGTTGCCAGTAGTAAATAATAAGTAAAGATTTTGTTTTTCTATGCTTTCATGGAAAAATGCTTGTGTTTAATAAAAAGGACATAATTACAATTTATTATTAATTTTGATAGGGTTTTAAAATATATTTTATTAGGTTAGATGAACGCAATACGAAAACAACCAAAAACAATGGTTGGAGTGAGCAATTTGTCCGCAAGATGGCGTTGACATGTAGTAAAGTGCTTTTTGGCGCTTTATGTTAGATTCTGCTTTTCAAGAAAAGAAAGTATTAGGGGCAGTACTACCAAATTCTCGTAAATTGCCTGATAATAATCAAACAGATAAAATACGTGACGGAAATATAGGATTTTTTTGTTT